GGAATTAATGCATCTAGCAGACAATTAATAGCCTGAAACCACAGTGTCACTAGCCTTGAGGACTTGCAATTCCCTAAGCCAAAAAAATGGCTGATTATAGGGAGACAGTTCAATCAGGTGAGTTTAGAACCAAGTCCAAAGAATAAGAGATCTAAAAATCAATAGGAGGAGCCATTTGATAGCTGGGGGAAATCTTATTCTGACAGCAGAAACAGAGATAACAGAACTAAGGCAAAGAGAGGAGATAAAATGTTTCCTGTCAAGAGGCAGTGACAAAATTCAAATCTCTCACTGAAGAGAAGAAAATAAGCCAGAAACTTCCAGTGAGGGTAGCACTGTTTTCTATACATCTACATGTTTCCAAGATAAGGGATTGAACCTCAAGTACACATGCCTATAGACACAGGGACAGAGAGCATCCACATAATTCTGCTAGATCCAGCATCCAGATCAGATCTACAGAGAAAGGTAAAGAAAGTCAAGAAGTTAGACTCTAGTTCTTAGAAGGCAGATCGTGAACCATCCCTAAACTGTGAGCCACATAACTTTGTTAGAATAGTGCTGTGAAGAAAGTATTAGTACAATTATTTTTTTTTAAATCACCTTAGACACAGTAATAAATGAGATGCCATCCAGAAACTTTACATCTAGCTCATGTGGAATACTGGTGAAGCAACAGATTGTTCCCAGTCATAAAGGAAAGCTCATAAATACAGCCAGATTCCCATGTCTTATAAATCAGCCTCTCTGGAATGATGCAGGTTTAAATCAGACAGGGACCTGTTCTGAGAACTGATCAAATGTGTTAGACAAGAAGGACGTAACATTAGGATATTTGTCTACCATTAATTGGAAAAGTGGCTTCCAGGCGAAGGGTCAAAGTTCCAGGGAGGAAATCATATGATTCAAAAGATGCAGTTCAGAATCAACCAGTTATCTTAATTGTCATAAAAAAAAAACCCTACAAAGCTAGCTTTTGATTAGGCTATTTCACCATTCAAGACTGGGATATATCTTGCTGTGTACCACAGTTACTCCACGTAATTTTGAAATGGGATTTAAGGACTCCAGGAGGATCAACCTGTTGCAAGAAAAATTATCCATAAACACAGAAGAAACTTAAGGACAACTAAATAACAATCCTGTGCTGTGGGATTGTTGATGATGAAACTCTGGGCCAGATGAGGAGCCAGTGTCTATTATTTGATCCTAAGTTTTAGGACCTGGCATTAATTCGTAATACAGTTGCTCATGTTTCATCTCAAAAGCATGGAATAACCTATTTACATCAGCTATGATAAAATATGTTTCTAATATTTTCAGAACATCTCACTTCAAAATTCTTTCACATGCGTAACAAAAAGATCAACTCCTGTGACATGACTACTCAGGAGAACCAGCATGTTCATTTGACTCTCAGATCCTCTGCAAAACTCACCTCCTCCTTCAGAAGCCACCACCACAATGCTCAAAATCCCCAGCTAACATTCAGGACAGCACGTCTGAAGAACAGGTTAGACCACACACCTCAAGGATAAGAGAAACTCTTACGTATGAATAAAGCTTTCTCAGGCACTGGTGACAAATTCCTACACACTATTCTACAGTGTAAAGAATTCAAATGGATTTTCCTGATGGAATTACCCTCTTCACTCCAAATGGCAATTCAAGATATCTCTGACTGGAAGCAGTTCAATCTGTTGACCACTTCTAAGAGATTCACTGACTTTCCAATGTTGTTAGCTATATTAATAAAAAAAGCAATACAGGAAAGCTGAAGGGAGAACAGATAAAGGAATCAACACTGAAATTAATCTTTAGCACTTGTGTATTTTTTCCTATTCACTATAAACACTAACCTACACTCACCTCTCCAAAAATCCAAAGGACTCTTGGATACTTTGTTCTCCTTTCACACAAAGATGTTTTAAATGAAAACATCGTATCTGCATGGATTTTACAAGCTACAATTGATAAGCAGATTTCTGAAGATGCAAGATACAGATACAGGCTATTTACTAAGGAAAGCAGAATGAAATAGACAACTGGCTGTTAACAGGGCAGTGTCTGAAAATTACATGAAAGTTTCTTATTTGCTGCTTGCAGCCAAGTATTTCTGAGGCAAGCTTTTCAGTAACAAAATGAATAGAAAGCTAATAGAAGAAAACAAATCAGTGCCTTAAATACAGAAAAACTAAAATGTATAATCAATCAAAAAAATAAGGATCCATTCAATTACTAAGCCTAGTTCTCTAATGTTACACAACTGTGCTGACCATATGTCAAGACTTGTTGTGACAGTGTATTCCTAATTCATGTAGTTGTTGTTTCCAACAACCACTACTAAATTTTACAAGGGAATAGTCTTTAAGTTCCTATATATTTTTCTAAATCAGCAGACTGGGAGTGGAGAGAGACATTATTAGTTATTCCACTGAGCCAAGGTCAAGAATTCTGACACCATCCATCTTGCCTGGCTGGCTACTGCATCGGCTAGACAATTAGCACACAAATTGCCACTGATGATGGAGAAAAAGTTGATATTTCAGTATTAAAAAACACAGAATAGTTAGAAGTTTTAAGGAGGGGTGATGAATAAGCCTTAGAACATGGGATGATGTATAGCATTGTGCAACAGTGGCAAAAAAGAATGGGACGGGAGCTAGGTTTATTACACATGATGGAAGCGTGAGGATACAAGATAAACCTATTTGCTTCATGATTTGCTTTAATTTTCCTTCATTTTGTTGTAGCACAGTGCAAGATAGAGAAGCTTGCTTTGTCATCACTTTTTTTTTTAAACTTTAGACATGTAACTGAGACAAGATTGAACAGTTCAACTACTTCAAGTTGGCTAAGCAACAGTTAGCGCCCTAGAAGAACTCCATCCAACTCCATCCCCACGATTGAAATCCATCCCTTCTCTTCTTTCATAAAAGCATGTAAAGGCACAAACCTTTTAAACACAGTTACTGAGTTAAACAGTTTACATCTAAACATATCCAGTACTACTTAAACCAGCTGAGTTAAAACACATGTGAGTCAAAATAAATGGAATCCTAAGATCCTTATTGTTAATTCCGGCTTGTACCTGGAAGCCCCCAGTAATGCATGTCAAGAGTCAATGCATGAAAAATATAATTCCAAAGGCAAGCACCTGATGCTACTGCCAAATAATGATTTTTTTGATATCCCAAAAACACATCAGAGATATTAAAGATCATTCAATTACACTTTCAAGAAATAATGCGTCTCTACTAAGACAACATTATATAGAAGTACATACTTTTGCAAAGGCTAACATAAAATTTAAATATGAAATTTCAGCAAAGTCCTTTAAATCAAGAAACCTCTATGTAATCTCAACTACTCCAATTACTTATAAATTTATCCAACTAAACTTTTTTCAGAACAAGAGCTAATAGCATGGTAAGAGCAAATTGCAAGACTGATTTTGTTTTAAACCAGAGTTTAACAAATCATCATTCACAGGCACGTAAATATCATCTATTTATTGTCAATGATTTTCACACGGTCTTCCTACAGATCAGTCTTAAGTGACACAATAATGACACTTCTGTTTTTCTACTGTATATAATTACCACATATACAATATCTTTTCCTTTCAAAATAGAACACTGTACATTGGTATTTCTTAACTGCTGTAATACTCATTCAGACCTACTCAGACATATAACATCAATTCATAAAGGCAAATTCTAGGAGAAAATACTAAAAAGGAGTAAAGAATAAAAATGAAACCTTTCATCAATGCACACACCTATGCCGGCTTATATGTTTATCCCTTATTGTGAAGATGAGAACTATGGCTCCTAATATTATCAGATTTGTACTAAAAAGACTTTTCTACATTTTCTGTATAATTGTTCTCATGCAAAGAAATAAAGGAAGCAGTAAAAGACACGTTTCTATCAGGCCAGATCAGAAGAGATTACACCACTACAGCTTCAATAGATGTGTGTGTACATGTGTGTATATGTTTGTGTATGTACATACACACACACACATATAATAGCAATCCTATTAAGAAAGCAGCACACAGAGCCCGATTCCCACAGACTGAGTGAAACAAACAGTAGTCAAAAGAGACATTCATAATAAATGGAAATTTCTTCCCAATTGGTTTTAAATTTCAAAACATGTCCACACAGCAAAAGTAAACTTAATAGGCCCATTTTTATTTATCTGTAGGGATTATTTAGTTGTGCCATTTCAAAGTGTTAAAAAATCATCTGTGTGTTAACAAGACACAGTATTTTGCACTGTAAAAAGAAGTTTTAAAAATCATCTCCTAGTTAACTCTTTAACAGTAAAGATGGAAATACAGCATGTTTGTTTTATGTCCATCACAAAAGGAAAGGCACTTTTTCTCTAATTTACAGGAAAGCTCCATTAGAGCACACAGTAAAACTATTCTTCCTTAAGCGATGTGGAGTTGATGTAGGAGAAGAGGAGAAAACAGTCGTCTTTGTCATGTACTTCCAGTATGGGGATGGTTTAGGGATATTTTTATCATCTTTAATTTTTTTTTAAACATCGTTATTCTATAGTGATTGCATTTTGAAATCATCAGAACATAAAAGCCCCATGCAGAAGGACATGGACAGCCTCAGACAAATTTGTTGTGAATGTTACACCAGCCAAACCATTCCAGCAGCACCATAAAATATTTACATAAGCTATGAACTATAAAATACTTTCACATGAACTATAAAATATTTACACTACCAACATCAGCTAGGGAAGAGTGATGTGTTATCAAGCTGGTGTGACCCAGCAGCAACAATTTTGTGGCAACAGATTAAATAAAACTATTGCAAATCATCTGGAAACTTACAGGGAATATTAAGTTAAACAAATTACTGCTTCTCGGTCTCTTGTATAGTACACATAACCAGGAAAGCATAGCTTATATGCTTGAAGCTAAGTTTCACCAACAAAATAAATGAAAATTATGTTCCTAATCAAACTGTACTGACCTCTCTGAACGTTCCTTCTAGCAAGGTGTCCAGATGTTGAAGAGGAGCAGGAGTTTTATCTTTAAATCGTGTCAGCAATCGTCGCTCGATAGCTCTGAATTGTATGGCCCTTTCAGATAACAGCTCCTGGAATTTTTCAGCATTCAAGCGTAGCTGCAATTAAAACATTTTCAGGAATTCAGATTAAGGGTTATATGCATTTTATACGTCCAATCAAAATGAAATGAGAAACTTATTGTAAAATTCTTGAGAGCAATTACTCATTCAAATACCGTTGGTGTGGTTAATTTTATACTCCTCATGAAACTTACTAACACGTTCAGGAATCACTATTTGCTACTTCAGTAAAAAATAGCCAATATAGTATGTATTAAAGCATAAGTATCTCATCAAAGAGCCTACCAATAAGAATGAAATTTCACCACCAGAATCTCAGGGTTTCTCCTCAGATTCACGTACTATATGATACACACATACTAGACTAAGCTTGTTATTAATTACTGTAAAAAGTAAATGGTTATTCCCCTAAGCATGAATAAAAGCAATAAATTCTGCACTGACTGAATGACTTCTTTCTCTGAAATGAAATCTTCTTTACTTTCTTATATATTTATGAGGTACACAGCAACCAGCTTTCTTGAAACATTCACAAAACATTGAACATCATATATTAAATGCCCAGGTAATAAAAATCTCTGTTTTATCTTTATAACCAGCTTTCTATTTTTCATTACAAACCTCTAAAACAAGCAAGTCCCTTACAAAAAGTGCAGTCTTCAAAATAATATCATTTGTATAGCTAACATGCTATAACTAGAATCAGAGAAACATAGAATCATAGAATGGCTTGGAAGGGACATTAAAGATCATCTAGTTCCAAACCCTGCTGTGGGCAGGGTTGCCACTCACTAGACCAAGCTGCCCAGGGCCCCATCCAACCTGGCCTCAAACAGCTCCAGGGAGGGGGCATTCACAGCTTCTCCGAGCAACTTGTTCCAATGTCTCTCCATGCTATGAGTAAAAAATTTCCTCCTAACATCTAATCTAAATCTCTCCTCTTTTAGTTTAAAACCATTCCACCTTGCCCTGTCAGAAGTTCATCTCCCTCTTGTTTATGAGCTCCCTTCATGAACTGCAAGGTCTGAATGAGGTCTCTCTTTTCCATAGGCTGAACAACTCCAGCTCCTTCAGCCAGCCAAAAAAGGGATGGAGCATCAGATCATTTCAGAGTAAAGGGACAACTCACAGTTTGAAGAAATACCCAGTGCTGGAAAAAAATATGTCATTATCTCAGATACATCTTCACATTTTCTGAAAGATAAATTGTTACGCGTCTGTGATCACAGTTTTAAATGGATTGTTCTTAACAATAGCAAATAAGTTTGAACTTGGACAATAGCAGCTATTCATATGCTGTGTGACATACCTCGAAATGCCGATCAATTAGTTCAAAGTATTCTTGCAGAGGAACAGAGCCGGAAAAGGTACATGCAAAGTCTTTGCAGTTTTGCTTTTTGAAATGTTCTTCCAGTCTGAGTGTTAATTCCTTTGTTACTAGCCAAAGGTCTTCTAACTGATCACTCTGGATCCTGTATCGTTCTTTGAAAAGAAGAACAAATACGAGATTAACAATACATACATTTAAGCCATATGCATTCACTATACAACATTAATAATACACAGGAATTTAACTAACTTTATAAATGCAAAGTCTGTAATAGGGATTTTCACAGAAGATATATGCTCATTAGCATTAAAGAAACTTCTGTCCTGTATCATGGGCCTGTTCACAAAGCATAAATAACTATGAACTACTACAATAAGGATATGAGAATTACTGGATGATATTAAGACCTAACAACAGGCTGCCTGTTATTCCCTGGTACAATACAGCCTTAACAAGTTTTTCTGGGCCTGGAGGCAGAGTCAGGCTCAATTCACTTTGCATCATGAGAGAAGCACAGCATCTTAAGCAACGGATAACAGTTGTAACAAACCAACTACATTCCACATAAAATCTTGAATGCCTTTTGGAAACATAGATCTTGAGTTCTTGGACAATACATTCACTAATATAGTTTTTATTACATCTCTATTTCCTATGATATCTTCCAGTAGGAAATTGTTACTCACTCTGTAGTCACTGATAACAATATTTGGCTTTCTTAGTGCTATGCTTCACTCTAACAGATAGTATTAAACAGTGTCTTATCAATCTAATATGCAGTATAGTTTTGTTAACGTAGCTTAGTGTAGAAAATGTTAATACAATTGAAATGTAAAAAACACACAAAGATTCTTGTTAGTGTTCTCTATTCCATCAACTTCATTCAACTTATTGCATTTTAGTGAATTTCAAATTATCAGGACAATGGGATGAGATCTTACCACTGTTCCACTGTTCTGCTTCTACTCCATTTTTGTGTAGTTCTGTCTTCCAATTTCAGGATATGAGAATTAATTAGATATTGAAAGGAAAACTGTTGTGGATAATTGTATCTTTTTTTTTTTTTTGGTCAGATACATTTTCTAACAACAGTATTTTATTTCTTGGCATTATCTATAAATGTTATCCGAAGGGAAAGACAGAAAATCAACTATGAAGAAACAGAGTTGAGGTTTTTTGATACAAAATAATTCTTTTTTTTTCCAGTCTCATCAATAAGGATGACAGTAAATCAAATGAACCAAAATTCTTTAGAAGTCAAATGCGCTATTTAAATTTTTCTCAACATCAGTAATTCAAATTGTTTGACGTTACCACTGGCATCCTTCCCAGGACACACATTTCACTGAATAGAAAATGACAAATTCTGTTTACAGTGTAACAGGAAAGAAGCAAGTTTTATTTAAAAACATGTCTGTTAAAGAAAAGAATACCATCTGCTAAAGATAACATTCAACCTAATACCCATATTTTTAAATACTCTCAATGTAATGGCTGGATTTAGTTCAGTCTATTATCATACTTTGCCTTAAGTGATTTTTCCTTAAGGGAAATTAGCTCAGATGTTTTCAGACCAAATCAACAGACATTCCACATATAATTGACACGTCTAATACATTAATGATTAAAATTGATAAAACTAATTTCCTTCAAAAAGCAAATTTAGTTTCCACGTACTGTTTGTTGGTCAATATAAACAAAATCTAATTTTATCATGAACTGAGTAATCATTTGCTTTACATGACCTTCCAGCACTCAAAAAGACAGACAAATTACATTTAGAAGCAGTAGGAAAGTGAGATTCCTTAGATGTACTAAGTATGTGCTTTAATATAGAAAAAAATAGAAAGAAAAAATTTAAAAAAAAAAACTTCTATAATTGTTAACCTATTTGTGTTAGGTTTTTGTTAAAATAAGATTTCTTACAGAAAATTTACAATCGATTATTTTCAGAAATACTCTCAAACAGAAAAGCAGAAGACTCAGAGGATCATCAATACGTAACAATGGCTTAAACATCACAGCAGGTAGTACTACCAGTTCACCCTGCAATAAGCATGATTAGTTGCCCTGCCAGTAGCTTATCTCCAAGAACCCTGGAAGATTCAGTTTGCTTCTTAGCTAGGAAGCCCTTGCCATGAGAAAAAACAATTACGAGTAGCAGTCAATTCTTCTTTACCCTTTGATTAAAACCAGCTTCAAAGACATTTCAACAAAAATATTAAAACTTTCATCTACACAGGCTAAGTTCATTTTAACTTCTAACTGAAAGAAAAACTTTATTCTGGGTGTCTTCATAGCAATCATTTTGACAAGCTGAAGTAACGTCTTCAATTACTACACTGCTTGAAATGGATTAGTTAACATAATTAAAATAAATGTGAACACAGATGTCATTCTTGTCTGCAGCTTCAGCAGTGAAACCCAACCCAACCTGGAGACTTTCACTTCTACATGCAACCTTTCCCATCCAGAATGTAAGGTCTATTCAAAAAGGAATATGGCAAAGATGCGTCCATTGTTCAAGACTAACTTTGTTCATGGAAAAAAAGTAACAAGGGTCATCCAGTTCCAATGATTTAATTTTTTTTTCTGTCACTATTTATCCACATATACAATTTTCTTTTTGAAGAACCTTTCCACAATGACCGTGCCACACGATTGCTTTTATAAAGTAAAAACTCAGCAGTATGATTTTGGTAGCAAAATAATTGTACCTCCCAAATAACACAACTTCATCCACATTTATTAGTTCTGTATAGGGTCTGCCTACTCAAGCACAGTAATTCTAATACTATAAAAGTCTACCAAGGAATGTTTTTGTATTATGGATAGTCTGTGCAACCCCCACGCCGAGAAATTCCAAAACCAATTCAATCCAGTGCATGTGGAAATGCTGGAAACAGATCACTACATGGAAGTAGGCATCACGTAACTCATTTGTTTTCTAAAGATTCCCAGACAAGATAAATGAGTAGTCACACTAAGAGAAAAAGTTGTTTGAATCTCCTTTGTGAAGTGAACAAGTAAAGTAGTGTGGGAAAGTTTATAGTAAGACTGCAAGAGTCATTCTTAGCGAGTGACTAAACAAACCTGAAGGAAAAACTTGAGGGTTTGTATGAAGAAACTAGAAGTTATAGCCTCACTAGACATTGAAATATATTCATTACATAGACAAATTTTTCCCTTGCACAGTATCAGACTTTGCAGTAATTCAAATAAGAGGTTTCAATGGTAATCCATAAAAAAAGTTACTTAGAAATCCTTAAAGTTCTTCAGTTTCTAGAAACTATTGTATATCCAGCCAGTTCAAACTTTAAAACCTACTGCCTATTCAAACAAATATTAAAAACAAATTAACAATGAAACAGCACGCAAACAGTGCATAACTAATACAAATGGATTTGAGCCTCAGAAATGTAAAGAAATTCTTGGTACAAAGAAAGTCCTTTAATAATTATTTGCCAGCTGGTTTCTGTATGTAACACATTTGACTACATTATAAAAAGCATTAAATATTATTTCATAGCATGCAGTTGACATCATCGTCATTTATATAACCAATCAGTGAGGCAGATTATTTTCATGTTGAAGGGATTTCTGATCAAACTAGCCTCTAATTTTTCACTTACTCAAAATAGTTTTCATAGAGCACTCAAACAATGTTCCATTTGAAATCCTTGCAACATGTGATTGGTATTTTAGCTTTTCAATTTCTCAGTCTGCTGCATTAAATGAAGAATTTCTGCTTTATTGGAACTGAAAGTACTAAACAAAACTGAATTGATTTTATTCCCATGCACACAACAAGGAAGTTTAGCAAGTTGAGTAGCAATGCAAGACTGCAACTTTCCAAAATTGAGAGCTGACTTACTTTATTTTAAAAAGAGCACAAACACACAGATCATTACACAGAATGGCCAGGGCAGCAAAGGACCTCAAGGATCATGAATCTCCAAACCCCTGCCACAGGCAGGGCCACCAACCTCTTTTAATGCTAGACCATCATTGAAACATGACTACTTATTTCACAAACTGTCCTGTACACGAGATGCTGGGCAAGGTAACAGCATATCTACACGCATCTTCACACATTCCATAAACATGGTAAGTAGTACAGAATCAACATGGTTGAATCCACAGACCTAAATTTAGCGATTTACGGGTAATTACTGATACAGGCATTTATTTAGAGATGCCTAATTAAAGTCAAGCATTACTGAAAGTCAGTGGACAGTCAGAAATCAAATCTGTAGTCTTTTTCAAATATTTCAGTGGATGACTTCCAAACAGAAATAATGAAATACATTTGAGGAAAAGAGGTGGGGTTTTTTGTTCGTTTGCTTTTCTACATGATCGCAGTGACAGCATTAATTCCTGATTTTAAATATTGCTAAAATAACAACAAAAGAAAAAACAATTTCTCCAGTGATTGCATAGTATACTCTGAGTATGACTTTTGCTTCATTTCAAGATTTTGTGACTACATTAGCCATATTATTAGATATTTGACAGGGGAAGCCAAGATACAATCTGCGAAAAATTTTAAGTTCCTGTGCAAACGATTAGTCATTTCTGTAGATTCTCAGTTTGCTCATATGCTATCCAATTAACTTATTATCTATTATGTTTTACAGGACTACAGACTTCTACATTTTAATAGCACTTACGTGATGTTTTTGAAGCAAGAAGAGTGATTTTTGAACCTGTTAAGAACTGAAATCCCAGAACATTTGCCTGGTCATCCTCAGATGGATCAGCAAAGTCTAAAAGAGAAAACGAAATAGTTGTTTATAATTTAGCACTCATGTACAACAAACTTCAAGCTGTAGACAGGACCGTATCAACCTTCACCTTTCCTGTAATACTCATGCAATCTGAATTGCATGACATTGCTCCCCCCTGAGGAGTACAGAATATCAGGAGTAGATTACTATGTGTTCCCATTGCTAACATGGAGCTGAGGTACACTCAGTTCTTACATGGAATTGCCTAGGCTTGATAAACAGAAATAGCTTTCTCAAAGGTTCAGTCTGTGTCATCTAGTAAAACTGCCTTCTGTACTGGACAAAATACTGCAGGTCTTTTATCAGACACCTAAGCAAAAATTATCATCGTGATAATGTTCAACTACCTTCTGCTTTCAGCATTCAGCAAAGAGGACAACAAACAACTAACTTACTAGCATTAGTTCAGCAAATCTATGCATGCCAACAACTCTTTTCAATGCATATATTAGACTACAACAACTTCAAATCTAATATAGAGCACTTTAAGAACTATTCCAAGAAATCTCCTCTTCTACTAACTTCCCCTACAAATAAGGTAAAAGAGGAAACAGAAGAGATACCATTCTAAGGAGCACAAAGTTGTGAACTTTCCCCCAAGATCATATTATAAACAACAACATATATATTTATATTTCACCATTTCATCAGACTGCCCTTCTGCTGCCATCTGTCACAAGGCAACAAAATGTAACGGACTATTGGCAGGAAGGTTCAGCCCTCCTGCTTTATCACCAACATCCACCTCCGACATCATGAGCCAACACAATAAAACCGGAGGCAATGCTTTCAGAGCAGACCTTGTACTACATGATCTTTCCAGAAAGAGATGCAGCTCCACCTTAAAAACACTGCCTTGAAGTTGTTGGCCCACACAGCACTCATCTCATCAGAAAACTGTTCCAGAACCTTTGTCCTCTGAAGTTCAGAACTCTAATCACTCCCAGATTGAACTTATTCACTATCACTTTATAA